AGTGAAAGCAGAATTCAGAAGAAGAAAGCAAAAGAACAAAACCGACTTTTCCATGATAGAGAAGAAAAGAAATAAAATTGGTGGAAAGGGATTCAATGATATAAGGAGGAAAAGATGCCTTTTTATTTTCTATAGGTTTAATACCCAATTTGGTCCCTAACCTTTCATTTCTGAACTTAGTTCGTCCTTTAACTTCAGAAAGCACCCAAATCATCCTTGAACTTTATTTTTCCATAACCCAAATGGTCCTTCCGTTGACAGAAGTGCATACTTGGCAAGTTAAGTCTCCAACAATTACCATTTTTAATTTTCACATGCTTATGTGGAAAAAACAGGCCGCACGTGCCATTGTCTTTCTCTTTATCCATGCAGACTCCCCTTCTAGAATCTACTTCACTTCACTCTCTCTTTCCTTTTCCCCTTTAACCCTAAATCCTCTGCAACTCTTGATTCTTTCTTCTTCAAGATCATCTTCATCCTTGTTTTCCTCATAAATAGCAGACATCATGGTAGCTGCAATGGCATATAAGGGAAAAAAAACTCCATTATGCAAATAATATTGCAGGAAACGTGAACATTAAAAATTCAAAATATAACTTTATCTCACCAGTGGGTGGCAAAATGTTCTTGACAAAAATGAAGATGGCCTTCTCAGGACTGAGCTTAATCCCCTTCCGGACAACATAGACAAATTGTCCAACAGTCAGGTCAGCAAGAACCAGATACCTGAATTCATCCAAAGTAGCATGTTCAAGGTTTGAAATGCAGAATTAGTATTCAGAACTGAAAAAGTAAATCATGTTACAATAAAGAGTTATTTAAGCATTAATTAGCATCTGCAATTCCTCAACCAGAAAACCAATTTATCATTGAATAATTACAGCAGAGGTCACCAAAGAATATGATTGCTAAATTATGGCAACTAAAGTTCATGTCAACAAACAGTAGATTGCTAAATTAATTTAAAGCACATCAATCTCAAATTCTGAAATTCTAGAAACATCGTCTACAAATACATCTACTATAAAGACATCATTGTCATTTTCAATCAGAAATGATCCCTATTACAGCATGGTCTGACATGATACCAAAACCATTGATCTGACAAACAAAAGGCAGAAGCCCTACTCTGGGGAGTGGCCTTTTATGCAGAAAATCCTAAAAAACACAGGTATCGCCTACATAAATACTAGCCATCCTACCCCTCAAAGCACCATCATGTGGAAGCATTTCTTCAGCAAGGATATATAAATCTTCATTAGTTAAATCCACTGGAATCAATAACCTACAAGTTTTGAGACTACATATAAAAATTAAAAATACTTTCAAAATAATAAGAAAAACATCAAGCATGAACTACTTCTATTAACAAACAGCAACCCATTTTTGAGTCAAAAATGGGCACATACTTTGAGCAAAGGTAAAAAGAATACAAAATCTAAGAATCTAAAAACGCTAAAGTTTAAGTGTATAGAAAATATAACATCAGTTAATGGTATCAGATAAATCACAATAATCAGGAACCAAGCAGCATGGAAACCATAATATCCTAAGTTGTCAAAATAAGTACAAAACTGACTTTTTCTTATCAATGTCAGGCACATCACTCTTCTCAGCCCTCTCAACAATTACCTACACCAAAAATTAATATCATGACATTTGAAATAGGGAAAAAGACCACAGAAAAATATGTACATAAATAGCGATGAACATTTCATACTGGTATTCTATCAGGATACTTCTCTCTGATGCGGGCTGCTTCTGCCTGCCTCCTTTCTAGTGCATGAAAGAATACAAAGTTTATTACATATTAAAGGAAAACCATTTGCAAGAATAGCACAATAATCTATAATCTTTCAATGAAAATTATATTTTTCAAATATATATCGATATCTGCATTCAGCAGAGAAAAATCATTGTATTTTACGGCAATGAGGAAACCAATACACAAAAATCAAAAACTGGCCAAATTACATTAAAACAGTGATTCCATACAAGAAAACCCGTTTCGCATCTATCTCTGAATGGGTTTCAAAAAAAAAAAAAATCAAGAAATAGCAAAATGTCAGTTTTCTCCAGAAGTTTTGAGCATTGGATTCGACCAAATCCCGGGTTTAGGTAGAGTGAACCATCCTATAATTCCAAACCTTAAAAACGAAAATAAATGATAAAAATTCAAACTTTTCCCTTCCCTCAAACTGAAAACATCGAGTACAATTACTTAATTAATCTACATCAAATCATACCAAAAAGCATTCATCACAACTGAAATATACAAAAGGAAAAAAAAAAAAAACTGTGGGAAAATTTCCAAGCTATACCCTAAATCAACAAACCCACATCAAGAAAGTTAAGGTTTTACAGAATCAACAAAAT